GGAGTATATTTCCACCTTCCCTTCTACTTAATTCATCTTTATCTGCCTACTTATTTGTTTAAAAAGTGAACCAACTAGTCAGGCACAGTAATCTAATTCTGCATTTGGTTTGAGGCCAATGCATTGAGGGCATGCAATAAATAATGGTGCCTGGTGTAAAAAAAAAAAGTCTTAAATATATGCGTTTTATCTCCAATTCCTCTCAAGACTCCACTAAAATAAAAACATTAAAAAGGCTTACGCAGGGCCGGCCCAGTGGCGCAGCGGTTAAATTTGCACATTCCGCTTCTCAGCAACCCGGGGTTGGCTGGTTGGGATCCCAGGTACGGACATGGCACCGCTTGGCATGCCATGCTGTGGTAGGCGTCCCACATATAAAGTAGAAGAAGATGGGCATGGATGTTAGCTCAGGGCCAGTCTTCCTCAGCAAAAAGAGGAGGATTGGCAACAGATGTTAGCTCAGGGCTAGTCTTCCTCAAAAAAAAATAAATTAAATAATTAAAAAAGACTCTGAGATCACAAGAAGGATTTGTTAAAAAAAAAAAAAAGGAAAAAAAAAGACTTACAAGGACAATGAGAAGAGAGCAAACAGGCTCAGACCAGGTTTCAACAAATGTTTTTACCAGGAACAGTGAGTGGGTGGGTGATACATGGCTGGGCAGAGGAAAAACTGAGCACTCACTCCCTGCTCAGACTCCACCACATCTCTGTTCAACCCCTGCAGAGATCCTAGGGTAGAACCCGGGAAATTAGAGGCATCTCCGATAGCTAGGATTCCAGATGGCACTGAATACCACAGGACTGGCTCAAAGTCTTTATAAGGATCCCTAATTCCCCTTCTCCAGCTAGATCACAGCTCCTCCCTAACATGGCAGAAGGCAAGAGGTCTATACTCTGGAGGGGTTGAGCCAGAGTTCTTTACCTGCAAATACCAGATACAGCTGAGTCAGGTAAGACACGGTACTGAAAACCCGCACAGATTACCAACCAAACATCACTGTTTAAGGAAAATTGCTAACATGTAAGACAAGGCCAAAATAAAGAATAAAAAGGAACTCTGAGGAAACAGCGACAACGTGGGGAGCATGAGGGTGACATGGGGGGATATGTGAGCTCATCAGAAACAGATTTAACATAATCTATTCCCCTTCTATCAAACACCATTTCTGTTCTTTCCATGCAAGACTTTAATGACCACAGACTGCAATGGCTCAACTATAACAAACATTTCCTCACCCCAAAAAACACAGTGTAGACATCATCACGTCATGCCTACAAACCGTCAGACTGGACAGTGGCACTCCAAGGTCACTATCCCCAGCTCCATCACCATGGACAGTTCACCCTCCCAAACATGTCACAAGACTGAAATCTGCTCCACTACTGAAGTAAGACCAAACCAAAATTAGATCAAGAATATAATCAAAGCTAAGAAGAAAATTTGATTAAAAACAAAACAAAGACAAGCAGATTTTTTCAAGAACGTACAAAGGGTACACAGTATTAGAGATTCTACTGCTTTCTTTGGAGTGGCCTCTCTGTCCTGTTCTTCCAACCAAGACGTTATCTTCCATGGTTTCTCACAATGGCATGACGTTCCAATGGGGAACACGATAAACTTTCTCCATTTTTAAAAATTAAAAATATCAAATATTCACATGTGGGATTTCCAACTCTGAATACTATTCTAGCATATAACACGAATATTTAAGAGTCCATAGAAAGATTTTTGAAAAAATAGAAATCATTAAAAAAGGCTAAATCTCGGCTGTTAAAAAGTGAATGCCACCAGAAATAAGATTGAAGTCTTCTCAGAGGCCAAGTACCAGCCTCCGAAAGTAAGGGCTCGCGTTTAGGATTTCAGTTTTAACTAAAACACCAACACAGCCCATTTTGTTCTTGCCTCCAAAGGGTGATCTTTTCAGTTTTCCATTTCCTCTTTTTTTAAAGCTATTATTTGGCAACATCAATCAAATACCAAACTAAGAGGTTTTGAGTTTCTATTATATATTCTTTCCATCATAATATTTGCAGAGGTGTGGTTTTCTCTCGAGAAAATAAACAGAAGTTCTGTATGTAACCCACAGACCCCATGAGGCAAACTGAATTCCTAATACTTTGATCAAATGCAATTCAGTTATTTATTCCGTACCCAGGAGGTAATAAGCCAGGTGCTAAGCAGCAGTGTAGGCCAACAAGACCCTCCTTCCCAAAGAACTCAAGAAATCTGAAGTAAAAAGGCCAGTTTGTTTTTGTCAAACTTCTAATTCACTGTGAACCAACAATTTTTAACACACAATTAAAACAACTTTCTACGAAAAAATTACACAAAAAATAAAATCCCAAATGTTTCATTATTAAGGTGATTAGAAATAAGATTACTCTACCATATTGCTACAGTTTCTAATGCTTAGTGTCTTTATTTCAACCCCAGCAGCCCAGGAACCAGGCTTTAAGAGGCACTGTGGTCAACTCCTACCAGTGTGAGAGGCCCTGCTAGAAACTCCTGAATCTAACCCAGCGCTTCACCCTTCGAGGGCAAGGACTTTCTGTATTTTTATTTACTCATGTTATCTTCCCAGACACCTTCTCCACAGCTCAGAGTCTGAACAAATCATTCCAGTCTCCTGCTAGTCATAGCAATCCTGATTCATCTTTGAGATTCTTCCCTCATTTTTAGAAAACTAATGACTCACTCCAAATTATATAGCGACTGTGAAACTTTGTATCTAACAATAATTTTTGTCACCTTTTGGTTCCCGATACTTCAAATTCCTTTAAAAAAAAAAAAAAAAAAAACTACTGCTCAGGATCAAAACAAAAAGACAACCCACCAACTGGGAGAAAATATTTGCAAATCATATATCCAACAAGGAGTTAATCTCCATAATATATAAAGAACTCACACAACTGAACAACAAAAAAACAAACAACTCCATCAAAAAATGGGCAGAGGGTATGAACATTTTTCCAAAGAAGATATACAGATGGCAAATAGGCACATGAAAAGATGTTCATCATCACTAATTATCAGGGAAATGCAAATCAACACTACACTGAGATATCACCTTACACCTGTTAGAATGGCTATAATCACCAAAACAAAAAATAACACATGTGGGAGAGGTTATGGAGAAAAGAAACCTCATACACTGCTGGTGGGAATGCAAACTGGTGCAGCCGCTATGGAAAACAGTACAAAGATTTCTCAAAAAATTAAAAATAGAAATACCATATCTATTACCATAGCTATCCCACTACTGAGTATTATCCAAAGAACTTGAAATCAACAATTCAAAGAGACTTATGCACCCCTATGTTCACTGCAGCATTATTCACAAATAACCAAAATGTGGAAGCAACACAAGCGCCCATTGACTGATGATTGGATAAAGAAGATGTGGTATGTATATACAATGGAATACTACTCAGCGATAAAAAAAAAGGCAAAATCGTCCCATTTCCAACAATATGGATGGACCTTGAGGGTATTATCTTAAGTGAAATAAGCCAGACAAAGACAAACACCGTATGATTTCATTCACAGGTGGAACACAAACACACATGGACAAAGAGAACAGATTAGTGGTTACCAGAGGGGAAGAGGTTTGCGGGGTGGGCACAAGGGGTGAAGGGGTGCACTTATATGGTGACTGACAACGTACAACTGAAATTTCATAACGTTATAAACTATTATGACCTCGATTTAAAAAAAAAAAAAATCACTGCTTAAAACAAAAGTACTTTGTGTCCAGAATTATAAGGGAGACTGTGTGAAAAGTATCATTGTGTTGTGATAAAGACTCAGAAAAACATACGGAGCACACAGCGGCTGAAGGACAGTGTCCACCTTTCATCTGTCCTTTCAGGTTGGGGCAGGCCGGGGTGGGGGGGGGGGGGGGATGGGCGGTGTTCCTGCACGGGGAGCCAGAGAAGGGACCAGGGAGCCGCTGCAGTCCTAGCTCACTGTCGTGCTCCCGATAGCTGAATGCAAGTCTGTCCTTTCCTCAAAACAAATGCTCAAAGCAGTCACTACTCACACGCACTCTGGCTGGACCTGCTCCCGGGCACCTGCTGAGGTCGAAAAACACTTCTTAAGGGGGTGGCAAGAGGGATGGGAGCCGGGAGAAAGGGGGAGTCCAGTGCCGCTGGGAATGGTTTAGGAATCTAGTAGCTGTGGTCCTCCTTAACACTGCTAACATAAAAAAGATGTTGGTATCGGAAAGAAGAATAAGTAAGAACACCACATCCACTAAATCTTCCTTTTGCTGCACTGGCTATTGTGTAGAAATCAACACTTCATTAAAATGAGAACAGAAGAATATCAATCTGTGGGAGACTTTACTAAGAGCAAGAACTAACGACTTGGTAGGTCTCAAACCAGAAATAAAGATATTTTTATGAATTCTCCAAGATGGAAAGGACAAAAGTAACGACAATACAGCCTTCAAAACTTCTCCAATAGCTTCTACATCCATAGAAATCAGTGGCTCATGTGAGGAACCAGCACTTTGAGCAGTCAATAAGGATGACAACTGAAGAATGGACAATAAAGTTAAATTCTATCAAGATCTTAAAGATCAAAATGTAAATAAAGACGGGGTTGGAGCTGTAGCAAGAAAGTGCGGGAAAAAGCAAGCAAGTCACAGAGCACCCTCTGGCTGGATCCGCGCAGCCTGCCCGGCCCTCCCTGGGAGGCACCGCAGTCCCACCCAGGTAAGGCCGGAGGCCAAACCCCAGGTGGCAGGAAGCGAGGGAGCCGTCCCCAATCACACACGCTGCCCCTCCTGCCCTCGGCCCGGGCGGGGAGGGCCCGCAGGTTCAGCCTTGCCCGGGGAGCAAAGCGGAGACCCGGCGGGAAGGGGGACGCCGCTCGGCACCGGGGACCCGCGAGGGCTGCAGGTGGGTGCTTCCGGGCCGGAGGAGGCGGACGGCTAGCTCGCCCCCTGCGCCCCGCTCCCGGGTGCCCCGCGCGGCCCCAACGCCCGCTCCCCGGTCACCTTCTGCGCGCTGGAGCCGCAGATCCGCGCCGCGCGGTCATAGACGTGGCAGCGGATCACCGAGCTGCCCACGTCCAGCCCCAGCACGAAGCCCACGCGTGGCGACTGCGGCGCGCTCCGCTCGGGGCTCCCCTGTTCGGAGCTGCCGGACAGCCCGGACATTCCCACTCCGCGTGCCTCGCCGCCGCCGCCAGCCCAGCGGCGCCCCTCCACGCCTCTCCAGGGCCGCGCCGCACTGCCGAGCGCGCCCGTCGGCCACCGCCTCCGGCCCGCCCCCGCGAGATCCGGGAGCGGCCCCGCCCCGCGGCGTGACGTCACGGCGGCGCGGCAGCCCCAGGAGGCGCGCGCTCGGCTGGCTGCCGCGGGGGCGCGGGGTCCCGGGGTCCCGGGGTCCCGGGGTCCCGGCCCCCGACACAGCCGGCTCTCCAAAGGGCCGCCGTGGTGTGCTCCGACCGTGCGCGCGACCGCAGTCCTCTCCCTCTCGACTCCAGGTTCCCTGAGGCGGGGCCTGCTTTTGTAACCCCAGTTACGTTTTATGACTCTCTTAAGAAAAGTAAAGCGACCTGAAAAGAAGTTGCAAATTCGGCTGAAAATATTTATTAATAAACTGAGAGTCTCCCCCCGAGACTTATCTCCCCAGAAAACCTGGTAAAATGTGCACGTATAATGAACGTCAACAAATACTTGCTGAACAAAATACACAGGAGCTAAGGCCTTCCCGGGCCTCTGGCTGCTCTCACCGTCACGCTCGAGCCCCGCGGTTCCTTCTCAGGAACCTGGAAGCCTCTCAGAGAGGCCAAAGGGCAAGGGCTCTTCCAGGCACCGGCAAAACGGGGCAGGAAGGAGGTCTATGGAAATGCGGAGATTCCTGCAGCTGTAGTTCACCTCTTCACCACCCTTGGGCCCCGAGCCCACGGGCCTTTCCCTGGGGTGGTCCCGCTCCCAGGGGAGCGTCCTGATCTGTAGAGCGTGGGGAGTTGTTCATACCTCCTTCAGCCACCTTTCCACCACCACCAGCTCTCCAAGAAACCAGTGCCTGAAAATATTCTCTGTATCTTCTTTTTGCAAACTTATAAAAGTAACAGATATGTGCTTTTTTGAAAACGTTTAACAGTGCATAGTAGTATATCTATTAAAAAGGATATTCATCTTGAACCAAATCATTCTTTTGACCAAATTGTCGTGTTAACCAACTTAGTTTTGTTACTCTCAAAGGGAGCCGTCTGCCCAGCTCAAGACATGCCCATAGTCAGGATGCAAGGCGGGAGGAGAAAATGGATTTCTTCATCACAGCTTGCTAGCAAGAGGGAAGATGGCTGACTGTCGGAAAGAGCCGTCTTATAGAACAAAGACTACAAGCCAGTTATGTATGGGGCTGGTCTCCGGGTGGGGCAGACATCTGGTCCCAGTTCCTGATAGTCCTTTGTTTTACTGGCTGTGCATCAGAGACGGAACAACGCCCTATACTGATCTTTCAGTTGTCATTGGTGTTGGCTATCAGCATAGGCTCTCTGCCCAGGGTTCATCACGTTCCTGGAGAATTCAAAAGAACATAAGTTATCATCTTAAAGCAGCAGGGAGGGGCCACAAAATCTACAGCGATTGTCTGGGCTAGTTAATCAGAGGTCATTCGAACTTACAGTATGGTTTCTTTTCTACAATATGGCTTCCCTTATGTCAACCTTGTGTTGAGCTGGTATCACTTTCAGGCAATTTGACCAAATTGGGTTCTTTGGCTATATTATTTGAAGCTTGGAACATACACCTGGAAGACTATGTTTTTTTCTCTTTATATCCTGTCCCCATCCAATAGTACTCATGTGTTCCAAATGGCCTCAGGACTGCCTTCAGCAGTGGTGACCACATGGTGAGGCTATATATGTTAATAATGTGTTGTAATTTGAAATAAATGACTAATGGGTTGTGTAGTGGTCAGAGTTCCCCAGAGAAACAGAACCAATAGGATAGAGAGAGAAAGAAATTGAGATTTATTTTAAGGATTTGGCTCACATGCTTGTGAGGGCTGGCAATTCCCAGAAATCTGTGGGGTAGGCTGGAAGGCTAAAATTTCCAGAGAAAGTTGATGTTAGTGTTGACGAAAATAATCCATAACCAATCTATAAATGAAAATTTGGGTGAGTTTATTCTGAGCTGAAATCTGAGGACCATGGCCCGGGGCCTTTCTTCCCGAAGGAAGAAAGGGCACCAAAGAAGTGGGGTGTACAGAGTGGTTATATACCCCCAGAGAGGATGTTTCACATAGGATTGAAATGTCCCTTTTACAATAATCGGGAGACTGCTCTGTCGGCAGAGCAATTGATGGAACAGCAGGTAGGACTGCTGTCTCAGTGAACACAGCAGGGTGGCCGGTCTGTTGTCTCCAGCTGAGTGGTCACAGGTGAGCTGGGTGGTCAAAGGTGAGCACAGCAATCAGTTCCTAGCCTAAGGAAAGATGCTTATCCTTAAGGAAATGCCAATGTGGGAGGGGGAGGGAAGTTGCACCTTTATCTCAAGGGCCTTTGTTCTGGCCATAGGAAGTATCTAAGCAGATATACAATGCGTGCTCAATAGCCACAGTCAGGCCCTTTTGGAAAAAACAAAGTCAGGCAGAATTAGGTTTATATTAAATGGCTTCCTCATATACTCCAATATATCCTATTGCTTGCCATTTTTATTTGTCATCAGTCTTGAATCTGAATTCTACAGGGCAGCAGGCTGGAAGCTCAAGCAGGTTCCTATGTTGCAGACTTAAGGAGAATTCTTTCTTCTTAAGGAAACCTCAATCTTTGCTCTCAAGGTCTTCAACTGACTGGATGAGGCCCACCAACATTATGAAGATTAATTTGCTGTATTCAATTATATTGATTTAAATGTCAATCATGACAAGAGATTTTCACACATTGATGTATATGGGGTAACTATTCGAGTTCAAAACTGATTGATTCGGCTTGAGCTAAAAAGTCTGACTTACGGCCTTTCAAACATACATTTGTCGACGAAAATAATCCATAACCAATCTATAAATGAAAATTTGGGAGAGTTTATTCTGATCTGAAATCTGAAGAACATGGCCTGGGGCCTTTCTTCCCGCAGCAAGAAAGGGCACCAAAGAAGTGAGGTATACAGAGTGGTTATATACCCCCAAACAGGACGTTTCACATAGGATTGAAATGTCCCTCCCACAATAGTCACAAGATTGCCCTATCGGCACAGCGCTTGATGGACACAGCAGGTAGTGGGTCTGCTATCTTGATGGGCGTAGCAGGAGGCGAGTCTATTGTCTCCAGCTGAGTGGTCACAGGTGCACACAGCAATCAATTCCTAGCCTAAGGAAAGATGCTTATCCCTAAGAAAATGCCAATGTGGGAGGGTTGGACCTTTATCTCAAGGGCCTTTGCTCTTGCTATAGGGAATATCTAAAGCAGATATACAATGCATGCTCAACGGCCTCAGTCAGGCCGTTTTGGAAAGACAAGGTCAGGCCGAATTAGGTTTACACAAAATGGCTTCCTCATATACTCCAATATATCCTATTACTTGCCATTTTTATTTGTCACATTGTACATCTGCTTAACCATCAAAGTAAAGGCTGCACTCTTAAGATAAGAATGCAGGGGCTGGCCTAGTGGTGCACATTCCACTTTGGCAGCCCGGGGTTAGCTGGTTCTGATCCCTGGTGTGGACCTATATAGTACTTGTCAAGCCATGCTGTGGCAGGCATCCCACATATAAAGTAGAGGAAGATGGTCACAGATGTTAGCTCAGGGCTAATCTTCCAAAAATAAATAAATAAAAGGTAAGAATGCATACTTCCCCTCCTGCACCCTATTGGTAATGCCCTATTGATAACACCTGGATTAGTCCCTTTCCTGACATCAGGGTTGTGTTGACCTGCTAATTTGCAACTGAACACCTCATTTACATTTTGATGGAAATGTATCTGGGGTGTGTTTAATGTATGTTCTTCGTTCTAAAAAGATATGACTGTGCTGAAACTTATGCTTCTCCAGAATGCCTTCCAAGGCCTTCCCGGGTTATAATCCTCACTCTGGCTCATAATAAACCCACCCCAATTTTGATTTATAGGTTAGTTATGGATTGTTTGCTTCAACAATCTGACAAACAGAAATGGCAAGCAATAGGATATATTGGAGTATATGAGGAAGCCATTTGGTGTAAACCTAATTCGGCCTGACTTTGTTTTTTCCAACAGGACCTAACGTGGCCATCAAGCATGCATTGTATGTCTGCTTTAAACATTTACTATGGCAAGAACAAATGCCCTTAAGATAAAGGTGCAACTTCCACCCACATTGGCATTTCCTTAAGGATAAGCATCTTTCCTTAGGCTAGGAACTGATTGCTGTGCTCACCTTCGCCACCTTGACCACCCAGCTCGAGGCAGCAGACCTGCCACCCTGCTGTGTCCACTGAGACAGCAGACCTACCTGCTGTGTCCGTCAATCACTGTGCTGACAGAGCAGTCTCGAGACTATTGTAAAAGGACATTTCAATCATATGTGAAACATCCTCTTTGGGGGTATATAACCACTCTGTACACCCTACTTCTTTGGTGCCCTTTCTTCCTTCTGGAAGAAGGGCCCCGGGCCATGGTTCTCACATTTTAGCTCAGAATAAACTCACCCAAATTTTCATTTATAGATTGGTTATGGATTATTTTTGTCGACAAATCACATCTGAAAAATACGTCAAGGCAACATCTAGACAGTTTGACCAAACAACTGGGCACCCATAAAGTGTCTCCACTAGCATAGCCAAGTTAACAAGTAAAATTAACCATTACAGATCCCCTTTCACAACAGAGAAAGCTGTTTTGTATTTTGTGATATTAATATTTAGCGTATTTCTCAAAGTGATAGTTCTTGGGCTTCTTGGACCCTGACACCCACTTCCGTTATGATCTTCTTTATAAATTACCTTGAGTATTATCAAAGGATCATAGAATATGAAAACAAAGACCTTAGTAACCACTTAGCCTAGTGTTTCTTAATCTGTTTCTGGTCTTAACTTCAAGATGATGATGAATGCTGTTTTCCTGAGAAGATGCTAATAAAGTCACATATTGCTTAACGACAGGGACACATTCTAAGAAATGTGTTGTTAAGTGATTTCCTCATCATGCAAACATTGCAGAGTGTACTTACACAAACCTGGATGGTATAGCCTACCACACACCTGGGCTATGTGGTATTAATTTTATGGGGCCACAGTCATGTATGCGGCCCCTCATTGACCAAAACGTTGTTAAGCAGCACTTGACTATATACACAAAATTGGGCATGTGAGCTCAGGTGTTGGGTCTGGGATAAACTAAACATGAAGATCTCAGGTTAAAATTCCAGGGCGGATTTCCCTAACTTGGACAGACGGTTGCCTAAGAGAGGGCTGGAGCAACAAAAGGACACTGTGTTTCTTCCGGGTTCCATTGTTCTCCGCTCTCACCCTGTTCTCACCCTGTTCTGCCCCCAGGGAAAGGAGCATGTGAGCTACAGGGCACAGGGCTCAGAAACTCTGAAGGTCCCTTTGCCTTGTCTGTCCCTTTGCACTTTGATCAGTCCATTGTTCTGGGTTCAGAGGCCACTGCTGCCCTGAACTCCAACACCTGGCGGCCTCAGTCTTCCTCTGACTCAGTGCTGCTTCCCCTCAGCTTCTGGGCTTGGCCTCAGAGCTGGCCACGGAGGCTGCTGTTCCAGGCTCTTTCCCCACCACTGTCACTTATACTTTCTCCTCCCACAGCAGGCCCAGGACCACACTTCTCTGTACCAGCCTCCCACACTCTCGAGAAACTTAGATGCTGTTCCTCAGGGCTGGAGCAGAAAATATGTGAGGCCACCATTTTCTGTCATACCCTAAAGGGAAATGTGCTTCAAGGCTGAGCCCAGAGACCTCAATGCCCTCTTACCTCCAAGGAAATTAGTCACTGTCCCTCCTCCCAGGATGACCAACTGTTCCAGTTTGCCCCGGACTGAGGAATTTCTTGAAATACAGGACTTTCGATGCTGAAACCAGAATAGTCCTCCTCAATACTCAGAGGCTTTTGGGGTCCACCGGTGCTTTCCTCTGGGACACTGACTACATCATGTTTAGGGTCAGCCACTGCCTTTAGAGAGTGAGCTCCTTGAAGACAGACACGGGGCCTTACACTTCTTTTTTCCTCCAAGATGCACAAAGAAATTGCTGAATGACTGAATGAACACACAAATAAATTAATATGTACACGTCTCTATCAGACCTTGTCTTCTGCCTGACTTGGCCACAGGACACAGCCGGCAGCGAGCCCTTCCTAATCTCTGCACTAATCTGGGCTACTGTCATTGAACACCAGTGCAGACCCCCCAGTGTGTCAAGGGGGTCTGAGGTTGTGCTGCCTGCCCTCAGTCTGGTATCAAAGACTGGGCCCCGGATGACCATATGGACATCAAGCCACCTCCTTTCTCTTAACTCTTGTTTTATGAGCCTAGCCTAATTTGGCTTGGGCTTCTGCATCAGTTTCCTGATCTGTACCTCCACTCCTGACAGTCTGGGGCCCTAGCCTGAACATCTCTGTGGGATGGACGTAGATGTAGTTGATGAAAGTAATGAAGCTTGGTGCCCTAGCAAAATGTTCAGAGTCCCGTGCTTTATAGCATTTGCAAAAGTGAATCATTTTTGTATTTTTTCTTAAAGTGGGCCCCCAAAATTGTACCAGCTTCAGGTGCCCCAAAACCATAATCCTTCCCACCCTTGTACAGTCGTCAGAAATTCCGTCTTTCTCAAGTCCTGGACTCCCCCTTCTGGATCCCCACGTGCTGGCCCGGAGCGCTGCCATGCGCCCACTCCGAGCGCCCCAGCTCCCACCTCACCGGCCTGAGCCCCCTGAATACCGACGTCAGCCGGCACCGCGTCTGTTTTCCCTGCACAGCGCTGAGTCACTGTGGCTGGAAGCACCGACTTGTGTCCTCGGGGCGCATTTAAGCTCCAGCCCCTGGCGTTCCCCACCAAGGTCTCTCGGGCCGCGCCTGCCTTGCTGGTCCGCCCCTTCACGTGGAAGCGCTCGAACCAAAGGAACGAGAGCCGAGAGCTTGCAATCTCAGGCCCGGAGCCCACCGAGCTCTGAGAACAAAGGGGACTTTGCGTCCGACCCAAATCCTGGGGAGAACTGGAAACTGCAAGGTGGAAGGACTCCAGAAAACCCAGACTGGAGGCCGTCGCTTCACAGCTCGGACAAGCGAACCAGCGCTGAGTCCCCTGCTCCCCAGCGAACGGGCGAGCGGCGCGATGGATCGCGGCCGGCGGGATCAGGGCGTCCTGGGGGCGACCGCGGCCGCCCCGACGTGTCCTCACCCGCTTCTCCCCGGAGCCGGGTGGGGCCCGCCGTGTCGTCACAGTCAGGGAATCACAGGTCCCTCACGGTGGCACCGTACACGAGGAGGGCAGGACCTCCCCCAACAGTGGTTCTGAGCCCCTGAACCGCCCCCCGTGTCCCCAGGCGGACGACATCCTGCGCGCGGCGGGTCTACACCGACCCCGGGGCGCGGCGCCAGCCCCGGCGGGGAGCCAGCGGGACAGGGCGGGGGCGGTCTGACCTCGAGGGGCCCTGCAGAAACGGGGGCCTCGTCACGGCTGAGCGGCTGGGAGTCTTAGAAAGGGTTACCGCCGAATCTAAGGGGATCCGCAGTCACACCTGCCACACCTGCCCGGGTATCTGGCCGTCTCCGTGCCCTTCGGAGGCATCGGGTGTCAGAAACACTAGCCGACTGGTCCCTCCTTCTCTTAAATTCTCCCCTCCTGAAGTGCTGAGTGACAGGAAATCTTTTCGTTCACTCACTACCTGCATATGCCGTGGGAAGGGAAGGAGCCATATCAGGTACAGGTTTGTGAACACACAACACGGGTTTGTGAACACCCAGAGGCTGGAAAGTTCTAAAGATAGCCCATTGCTTCAGACAGCATCCTGCCTCCCCTTCTCATCTCAATCATCCTGTTTCACTCCTGGTCAGAGCCTTTTATTCAGCTAGGGACGTTATAAGATCTCAAATGAGTGAGTCCTGTGAGGTAAGATTTCAACCACATGAGAGAATGGCTAAAAACACTTTTGAATTCACGGATAAATAAAACTTTGTTTTTTGAGGAAAATTTTTGTATAAGGCAATTTAAAAAATCCAGAGTAAAGTACTGTAGAAGAAAAGGTGGAAAATAGGCTGTTTCTAGATTCAAGGTAAATTTTCAAAAGTAAAGATTTCTATCTCAGCCTTTTGGCTAAGAATAAGCCAGAATAAAGATGGAAACTCCTTCCTACACACTGCTTAGCCTCTGTTGGCATTATTTTCTTCCCAAATACAAGATTCTTGGTTTGTTTCTTTGTTTGTTTTGAGGAAGATTAGCCCTGAGCTCACATCTGCTGCCAATCCTCCTCTTTTTGCTGAGGAAGCCTGGCCCTGAGCTAACATCCGTGCCCATCTTCCTCTACTTTCTGTGTGGGACGCCTGCCACAGCATGGCTTGCCAAGCGGTGCCACGTCCTCACTGGAGAACCCTGGGCCACCAAAGCGGAATGTGGGACCTCAACTGCTGCGGCTCTGGGCCAACCCCTCTTGTTGTTTTTTTTTAAGTCAGACTTATTGAGACGTCCAGTTCTTTAAACTTTGAAAAATGTATACAGCCGTGCAACCACCACCACCATCAAGATAGATGGAATTCCATCGATAGCCCCACAAAGTCCCTTTTGTTAGTTTGTTCTGATGAGGAAGATTGGCCTTGGGCTAACATCCCTACCAATCTTTCTCTATTTTGTATGTGGGATGCTGCCACAACGTGGCTTGATGAGTGGTGTGTAGATCTGCACGCAGGATCCGAACCCGCAAACCCCAGGCCACCAAAGCCGAGTGCGCAAACTTAACCTCTACGCCACAGGGCAGGCCCCAACCAAGTTCCTTTTGCACACAGTACTCTGAATCCTTCACTATGGCTGTAAGGTGATGTCATCTACATACAGAACTCAGAAGTCCTGAATTTAGCAGATTGATCATTTTAGATGCAGCCCATCCCAAAAAGGAGTTGCCATTTCCAGACTGACTTTAAATGAGCTCAATCTTTATGACACACGGGCAATTTGTGTGGACCTGGGGATTCTTACCAAATGACACACTTATGTAAAACAAGTGTAATAACTTGACAATTCTTGGTTCATTTATATGACTTGAGTAAATCCAAATGACCTGAGACGTCACTAGCAATGAGGACACTGGCTGGGCTTATTTACATTTTATCTTGTCAGGAAGGAAAAGCCTTGCTTTGAAATATAGTTACTACAGGCTGTGTTTCACAAACTGTAGCTCTGGACTATTATGCTTTAGTACCATAAAGGAGATGAAACTTAGAATAAAGTCTAATTAGTTCAGAACACAAAGGAAAGAAAGTAGAAATAAGAAACCATGAACAATAAACACTAGATTTTAAATTAACTGAAGAAGAAATACAATCAATTCTCCTTATTTGCAGTAGTCATGTTCTGTAAAGTAACTGAATTAGCAAATACTGAACCATTTCTCCTAGAGAAAGTACAGGGTTAGGCTCCGGCAGCCTCTGCTCACATTTCCATTGGCTGATCAATACATAATCTTGTCCTATGTGTGTTTGTCTTTAAAGACACCTTATTTAACATATATCATTAATTCATTAACATCAAACTTACAGCCAACAGCACTCTAATTTTTGCCTGAACCAAGCTTATCTAGCACATGTATTCTCTCTGTAGGGCATGTCTTCACCTTCTTACGCTTAGGAACACTACAGAGCATTTCAGTACCACACTTGGGGGCCATTTAAAACATGAAATCATCAACAAAAAGCACAAACGTGAAAAATGTGACACTAAATAGACAGTAAAAAGGACACCAGTTTACAGTATTAGAGCTGAAACCAGAAGGCAGAATGTTGTCTTTTTTGGGCTCAGCTGGGAGGGTGCACATCTCTCCGTCTCTCTTTTCAGTGTCTCCGTATTTAGATTTAGCAGCATGTTTATCAATTTATTTGCTCAGCGTTGATTTTCTTATCTCATTCAATTTCCGTCTTTCTAAGTCAATTTTCTTTCTCTTAGATTTTGTCAGTAAGTGGTTCTTCCCGCCAGGGTCTTTGGGTAGTAAACTTTCTTAGTTTTTAAACATCTGAAAATATCTTTGTTAAATCCTCACTTTCAAAAGATAGCTCAGCTTGGTAAAGAAAACTAGTGTGACAGTCATTTTCCTTCTGCACTTTGAAAATATTGTCACATGGGCTTCTAGCCCTGATACAACTCATGAGATGTCTACTGCCTGACTAATTTTCATTCTCTTGTGGCTTCTCTATCTTTTTTTTCCCAAAGATTGGCACCTGAGCTCACAACTGTTGCCAATCTTCTTTTTATTTTTCCTGCTTTTTCTCCCCTAATCCCCCCAGTAGAGAGTTGTATATTTTTTAGTTGTGGGTCCTTCTAGCTGTGGCACTTGGGACGCCGGCTTAGCATGGCCTGACAAGCGGTGCCATGTCTGTGCCCAGGATCCAAACGGGCGAAACCCTGGGCCGCTGAAGTGGAGCACGCCAACTTAACCACTCGCCCACAGGGCCGGCACCTGGGTTCTCTATCTTTTCTCTCTGGTGGCTTTAAGATTTTCCATCCAGACTGAAAGTGGTCTTGTTTCTAATTTATCCTGCTGGGGACATCCTGCTATGATCCTTCAGCTTGAGGACCTGGGTCTTCAATTCTGGAAAATGTTCTGCTCTCTACATGTTGCCTCTTCCTGTTCTCTCTATTTTCTCCTTGAGGAACTCCTACTAGATATTTTATTTTTTTAAAAAAAAAATTATTTTGACACAGTTTCAGACTTACAGAAAAGTTGCAAAGTAGCACGAAGAATTCCCTCTACCCAGATTTCCCAAACATTAACATTTTACCACATCTAGTTTATCTTTTTCTGTTTATCTATTTACTGGTATTTTTTTCTGAACCATTTGAAAGTGAGTTGCAGACGTGATGCCCATTTGCTCCTAGATACTTGAGTTAGAATTTCCTAAAAACAAATATATTCCCTTACATAATCCTCATACACAATGCTATTAGCTAATCTGCAGATCTTATTCAGATTTCACCAATTGTCTCAACAGTGTCCCCCAGAGAGATAGAAAATCCCAGATCATGTGTTGCATTGTCGTCATGTTTTTTTAGGCTCCTTTTATTTGGGACCATTGCTCAGTTTTTGTCTTTACTGACATTGACATTTTTGAAAAGTACAGGCCAATTATTTTGGGGAGTGTCCTTCGTTTTGAGTTTGTCTGACGTTTCCTCATGATTGGATTCAGGCTATGCACTTTTGGCCGGAATAGCACAGAAGTAACATTGTGCTCTTCTCAGCAGGGCTGGTACCAGGGGAAGGAAAGGAGGCACCTAGTGCACACAGCACAAGGAGACATTCATTCTCAGCATCATGCAAGTACAGGGTCAGCCCCAGGTGCCTGGTTTGCCTGCCCCTAGTTCAAGCCCTGCTTCTCAATGCATCATATTAGGGGGGGTGTGGTATCTATTGGTCCCGTATGATATCTGTTGGTCACTTAGTTAAGGTGGTGTCAGCCAGATTTCTTCATTGTGCAGTTACTATAGTTCCTTTTGTAATTAATAAATGTCTTATGGGGGATACTCTGAGACTCTGTAAATATCCTATCACTTTTTGAACTTTTACTCAATAATTTTAGCATCCATCAATGATTCTTGCCTTAATCAGTTATTAAGATAATTGCCAAATGGTGATTCCCCCCCCATTTCATCTTTCTTTCTTTTTTTGGTGAGGAAGATTGGCCCTGAGCTAACATCTGTGCCAATCTTCCTCTATTTTGTATGTGGGATGCCACCACAGCATGGCTTGATGAGCAGTGTGTAGGTCTGCACCCAGGATCTGAACCAGTGAACCCTGGGCTGCCAAAGCAGAGTGCACAAACTTAGCCACTAAACACGCCACTGGGCTGGCCCCCATCATTCTTTCTACATTTATTAGTTACCTTTCTATGGTAGGAAAAATATCCCTTCTTCTCATTTGTTTGTTTATACAAATAATGACTCATGGGTTCTTATTATAGTCAATGAATTATAATTTATTGTCTTCCTTATTTTGATGGTCAGATTGTCCCGGAATTGGTCAGTGGGAGCCTCTCCACGCTGGTCTTTCTGTTCTTTCCATGTGCTCCTATTATTATATGAGTACTTCCTCACTTTCTGGCACAGCAAGATGTTCCAGGCCCATCTTGACCTACCCTACCCCAGTTTTGGAATTAGCCATTTCTCCCAGAGGCTCTGGCTCCTTTATGTGGAGAATGTCATTTAGAAACCAAAATCTGTGTGCTGGATATGCTAATTGCTGCTGGAGTATCATTTCATCTAGGTATTATACTCACTTATGTATCTATTTCTACATCTATCTATCTGTCTATCCATCTATCATCTATCTGTCCATCTATCTATCATCTATGTATCTATCTCTATTTTAAAAACCATGAGTTCATACCTATACCTCCAATTTCATTCCAACACCACGGGATTCACTCAATCTTTCCTCCTTTCTGTATTCGTAACTCCCTTCTTCTCTGCCCATGAGAAACCTTGCTTCTGCCATCTGTATATATTTACTAATTCAATCAGTCCAAGAATACAAAGAAATTCGTTTCAGAATTGTAAACCCACGCTTGCGTGAATAGAAGTCTATTCTCTAGAGGTCAATATTTACTTAGCCTGTGGTCAGATCGGTAAAGGCTACTTGGATTAATTATTTTTTCCCTCTTCCCAGTGTGGTTGCATTATTCGTTTGAAATATGGTTCAGTTTATTTCTGTTTGTATTTCATTTTGGGTTTTCTCCCTCAGGCTTATTGATTTTCTTTTTTTTGAGGGTGTAAAACATTAACATGGGTCCAAAAATCAGAACTGCTGAAAAAGGTACACTCAGAGAGTGTCGTTGGCCTGCCCCCTCCTTCTACTCCTTCCACACCATTCCCACCCACCCCCGCAGGTAATCCGCCTCACTGGTCTTGGGTTTATTCTTTCTATATTTCATTTTGCACAAATAAGTAAACACATGTATCTTTTCTTACTTACCTTTAAGTGTGTTTTATTTTTTCATTCCTTTCTTCATATCTCCTAACATCTCTTATTTTCTTTTCAATTCCTTTGTCACTTTGTGCTGCATTATGGGTAACTTCCTCAGCGGTTTTCCACTCTAATTATTCTCTCTTGGGCTATGTCTCTTTGATTTAACCACTAAGTTTTTACCTTGACTATATTTTTT